AGCGCCATCAACCTCTCGGGCCAAGGCATTTTCGACGCGAAATTTTATGTTTCCAAGAGTGTACGTATTTATTTTAAAAGGTTATATAAAGGATTTAGAATCGAATATTTATATTCCAATTTCTTTTCGAAACAATATTTACAAATGCACGTAATGCAGATTAGGAACATATACTAACTACACATACGTAATAGAATGATGTAGAGTTTTTGCTTATTGTGATGTATAGATAAGAATTTTTTTCTTTACCAAGGTTTATCTTAAAATTATCAAAATATAATATAAATAATATTAAGTAAATATTTTACAATTGTGATATAAAAATAGTATTCTAATATATAAATATTATCATAATATAAGTATATTAGTGAACTTAAGAATAGTTAATGTATGTTTCACACAAGAATATTTTATTTTACAAAAAAAAGGAACAAACGTAGAAAGTCCATGCAAAAAAAGTAAAACTAAAATAAACGCGCAATTCGGTAAAATATAAATATACTATAGTCGATTAAATAACCTAAATAACATTTAACCAGGTATGATTGGAAGCAAAACCGTTTACCGTGTGACTGGATCGTCAACTGCTGTGAACTGCGTGGCAAGTAACTGTAACAAAAGAAGGGGCCGAGGTGATTCAGAAATCCCACGCCATATCACATTTCCTTTCTTACGAAGTTTCTCGGAAGCACCAAAAAGCAGTTGAAAGATAAGCGGTCAGTTTCATGCATAAAGCTCCCCTCGAAAAGTATTAAGAATCTTCAAAGATTATAAACATACAACTAGTACAGTGAGTTTTGAAATTAATTAATGGGGTGGCTCATGCATTCTGTGCACCCAATCCTGAGTTAACAGTGTCCAACTTTAACAAATAAAGGAAAATGTGGGAAAGAAGGTAGATAGAAAACGAAATTTCTCTGCTGCATAGAAAAACATTGAATCAATGATATTTTTCATCTTAATATATAGATTCACATTCGTAAGTTTTTTATTTTTTTCAGAACTAGTCTTAGTACTGCATATTTACATTTTTGGGAGTCTTTACGTAAATTTCAGGATTACCTCATAAAGATGAAATATCCATGTTAATATAGTTATGATCATAATAAAAAATATTAATGAATTATAATCGCTTTGAATCAAGTGTTTATTTACTTCAGTTAAAAAAATTAGTTACTTATGGCATGTTAATTGAGGAGAAGAAATTGGGGGATCATGTATAGAATTTTAATCACATTAAATCATATAAACCATAAAAAATATATTTATTTATAAAACATTCAACTTGACAGTACATGTGCATTAGTAATACTCAATAGTGGACGATGATGTGAAAAGTAAGAAATATAATTTTTAATCCGTAAATTATCAGTATCTCTACTGAACACAGCGTCCACGCATGTGCTATTTCTCATTTTTGAAATCTCTAGATGTTTATTGATTTGAAGATTGAAACTATTACGCAGGCCTTTCACAAAGACCTGTCAGTCAAGGCGCTACCTGTCAACGCTCCGCCTTCGAGGTCTTCTTTTCCGGCGAAGAAGGAAAGGGTAGGAGCGACAGAAACGGGCGGAAAATGACGTACAACACATTACAAGAACAATTTTCAACTATAATAAAAAATTGCAATAACATGATGCCATAAAAGTACTTCATTTTTTTCGCGTACAGGCCAAATCGGACCACGCGTGCACCGTACTTCAGCAGGTGCAAGTACCTTTATCTAGGGAGAAGGATCAGCATTTTAGCTGAATCCCCATTTTTATCCCCGAAGGTTGTTAGCCTTGAGGGTATGGATGATGAGATGATGTTGATAATAAAGGATGAAAGGAGGGCACACACATATAGACATGTACAAATATACCCATGCCCAAGGCGGGACTCAAACTCGCAGTCTTCTAGGTCAGAGACCGCTGCAGCATTACTCTACTACCGATATCGGCCAACTGACCGGCCTACCACTCGATTTTCTGAAAAATGCTGGCAGTAATTTCAGAGCAAGGAGTATCAGGGGCCTGTAGGCAACCCTTCAGTCAATACACGTTAGCGTACCGCGGCTTGCCTACACAATACATTTTCTTTTTTATTTTGTTGGGATGACGAACTCCGTGAATGTTCCTTAAACCAAAACATATCGATGTCAAAATTTTGTGAAAAGAAAGGTGAAATAATATCTTCATCTAGTAAAGTCAATTCAGAATCCTTACTCGTACTGATGTCCTCCCAATTGTCCCTTTGATACGTTATACAACATCTTTGCTCATTGCGTGAAATAGAGATGGCTCAAAACTTAGAGATCTGTTTGAAAGATTCATAACTTCTTGCTTCAATTGTAGTTTTTTTCTTGCCAAATATTCTAGAGGACATTTTAGAGTTTCAGTTAACGTGTTCTCAACAGAGCAGAGTTTCGCGATTGTAGAACTATTCTTTATAAATGAAAGTTCCATTAACGACAATAGTTTGTCAGTTCAGAAATTTGGATTATACGTACAACTAACTGAACATTTGAGGGCAACGTATCAAAGACAATTGTGTTGCTTAAGAGGTACAGTGTGATGTGGTGTGACTTCAGAAAATATGCTGGTGAGCTGTTCTAGTGAGACAAATGCGAATTAAGAGGATGTAGTCGTATTGAAATGTGGCATTCACAGCTTACTCTGCTCTCGCAGTTCGTAACTACTGGCATTTAGAATGAAACATTGTGGAAAAAACTCTTTTTTCACTTCTCACATGGCCAGATTTAGGTACTGGGCGGCTCCCATGTAGAAACCCATGATGTCACTTCTCCAAGAAAAAAATCCTCCATATTTACTAAAAAACACTCATTATAATTGAATAAATGGTTGTACAAAAACAAAGGAACATTTAGGTATATTTTTACCGATACGGTCATATTTTAAAATTCGTTTACAGATTCGTAATTTATAACAAATTTCCGAATATTGTAAGATTATTTTCCGTAGCACGAGGCCTTCGTGGATGGGAACCCCTACGCAACTTACCAGTGCAAGACCTCCGACCACGAGGTCCTAGGGTTCGAGATTGTAGCAGGTTGTTTGACACTAGATAGATAGCTGGGTCGAATTCTGGCGCTGTCTGGAGGAGAATTCTAGCGTTTGCATGCTCTGATTAGTAGTTTCCCGTGGTTTCTCCGATCAACACCAGTAAAATGCTGGAACAGTGACTCAGACCCAGAAAGATCGCGCGCGGACCGTGTGCGATCTTTCCTTCCTCTTTCTTGTCCTACCTTCACCCCTTACACACTCTTACATTTTCATGCAATACACTACCACACATGTCGCGTTATCATCCTGGAGCCCAGAGCTTGTCCCGACGGAGCGATACCCCGCTAGTGCGAGAAGGCTGGATGAGAAAACCCCGCACACCGACGGGTAGGTCGGCGCTGGATGTCATCATTAAGCGGAGAAAGATCACTTTCACCTCCCATGATAAAAACATGGCATGCACTTACAACCTGCGGGTTAACTGCTATCGACTAATGACCATAGCAGTTAACGCGCTCGAAAACCAGAAAAATGAATGAATGACCCAAGGCGCCAAACGCTCCCTCGCTGCCTGCCCACAGACCAGCTGCGGGTGCTGCAGTCGGCGGAGCGGCGTATGGTGCCGCGCCTGCAGTCGCACGACGACCTGGAGAAGCTGCAGGCGGCGCTGCGGCGTGCGCGTCTCAACAACGTCATCAACGACGTGCCCGACAACCCGGTGCTGTGCACGCACGGCACCCACCGCTGCCACCACGCCGCGCACGCCTACACGGGCGTCCCCTGCGCCGCCTACAGTGAGTAGGTCGCGCCGCCCCTGCAGCACGCAGGTGCGCGGTGGGGCAGCGCACGAGGCGAGCTTAATATGAATAGTTTTAACTTCCGTAAGGTCGCTTTTCAACCACTAAGATCATGTAGAGGCCACTGAAAGTAATATTGGGGACAACGGGTACGGTATGCGGACTCACACGAATATCCATGCCCCGGGCGGGATTCGAACTCGACGCGACGCTTCAGGCCCTTCATGCTTAGCGATCTTGTCTATTAAGAACGGCTCTAATACTCATTGTTTTATTAAGTAATGAATATTAATAATTGTTAATAACAAATAAATTGTAATAATTAATAGTAATTAATAATCTTAATTAATACTATAACATGGGATCACACCATAAGTCACGGAAACTAGTTATAACTCATGGCACGAAGACAGCGGCAGGAATACAAATGCACTGTGTAAAATTGAAGGTCATTACAATGTGCATCGGTCTACCACCACCTAATTGGTACAGAAACCAACCAGATGGGTAAATTGAATGTTATGTATATTTTCCCCTGTAACCCAAGCCATTATTCGGCATTGAACCAGAGTGGCTCTCCTTGAACGTAGTTATTTTGTCACAATGTCATTATCTCTTAGACTAAGGGACTTCCTTTATGCCGCGTCTCCTGCAATATCCACATGTGAGTTCTGTTCCACTTTGCTTAAATCCATCATGGATCGCCCTCTCTAGCATATTATCTTTTGCGTGTCAACTAGCAATCATTGCACGTAGACGCGATTTCGCGGTGTCATCTCGTACAGTGTCGAATGCATACGGGACTGCAAACAAGTATACTGAACCAACCACATTTGGTTCTTCTGAAGGTATAACATAGATGCCATGACACATGCAATAACGTTTATGCGGAATAATAATATAATAAATCATCAAGGTTTCCAAATAAGATGGTAAAGGCTCTGAAAGTGGAGGGTTAGTGTTGATCCAATAGTAATATGGCTCTAGAAACCATATCCAGTGACGTTACAAAATTTCTGAGAACCGTAGGACTTAATGCAATTCTAGAATACAACTCCAAATAAAATCAATCATGAGCAGGTGCCTCTGCGACTCATAGGTCTTTAAATAGGGCCCGAATCCAGAGAAATTGTAAATCAACCTAAGAACTAACGAAGGTTGTATAATAATAATAATAATAATAATAATAATAATAATAATAATAATAATAGTAATTTTGACATTATTACACGTTAATATATGTAATACTATTATTGTTATTATTATTACTATTATTATTTATTTGAATTGTGGAACCCTTCAACTTAGCTCATTTAGACTTTTAAATGAAAGTCTGTTCAGAAGGTGATATTAGAGGTGAATAATGCCGGAGATATGGTGGAATGAGAGGCAGAGGAAACGAAATATCCCGGAGAAATCCTACCGAGAGATATTTTTCAACAATAAATTTCACATGGATTGGCCAAAGATTGAACGCGGCCCTTATAGAGTAATACATTTGGAACTGCTAGTAATTGATACAATTATATTATTACATTCCTCTTATTTTTTCGCATAAACTTATGTAGTATAGGAAAAGATATAATATAGACAAATTTACATGCAGGATTATCTCAAAAACTGATCCAAATTCTTAATAGGTAGAGATACATGCACCAGATAAAATGATAGAAATGTTATCTTCACGTAATCTTTCTATTTTCCACAAATTACTGAAATCAAGTAATATTATAATATTATGTAACCATATAAATATTTCGAGAAAAAGGTGCTTTGTGACACCACTATGTAGTGTACTTATTTAATTATTATATTTTAATGGTTCCACTACTATATTAGAATATTCATAATGTTTGCACTAAATTGATATCATTAAAGAAAGATTCGTGGTAAGCAAGGTTGCAGAGATTTACATGACTGGTTTAGTTTTATCGTATTACATATTATAGTTTTATTATCGAGAACTAAAGGTGAAATTCTTAGATAATTATCTTCACCATTTACAGATTTCTGTGTCAATATAAATATTAAGCACATTTGGGAAGGCTGGGTGTCGTTTATTGTCTCCTTGGTATGTGCTCTTTGTAAATATTATATTTATGATACAAAAAATAGTTGATTTTGGCACATGAATTCCACCGCTTTCTTTAATTCCGACGTTTCAGTTTTTATTTAATCATCTTCAGTTCTGAAATAATACACTTCCATTTAGTAACCTCTCCTTAAGCTGCCAGAATTTTGACACAGTTATATCTATCACGCTCGTTATGAATTTCATGGGACCCTTCTCTCCCTCAAAAACAATGCATAGAAATCGCATTCTTTATTGGCCATCAACCGAAATGATTTCTAATCATAAAAGATGCTCGCGCTAAAAATCTATTTACGACAGAAAAGTTCTCTAATAAACCGTTGGGAGCTGTAAAAGTTGTTATAACCATCTGAAAACAAAGAAACAATTTTGGTAGTTCACTAGATGCAGTATCATGAACTATAGCATTACGTCTTGCAGTAATTTATAGCATTAATATTATTTTAAAGTACTTTTATTTTAATTTTTCCAAATATTACTTACTAAAAATGGGAGCATTTTCTTTTATATTATCTGCTTTTATAATACATGTTCAAATCACAGATTCCTTCAAAAGTAAGTAAAGAGACAAAGTTAACCCGTTAATTTTATTAATTGCCCTCGTATTTTTTCCAATCCTCAGGAAGAACATTTTTTTTAATTCTCTTTCGTATTTTATTTCAAAAAATATTCCACAGTCAAAATTATTCTCTAGAAATTCATTGTCGCCACTTAAAAAATGTTGGTTGCACATTTCACCCCCTCGAATCTCGGTTTGTTAACTCGTCGAATGGAAATATTTCGTATCTGAGAATCACACTGTCCGAAATGTCGAGTCATTTATAATTAATTTTCAATTCATAAAGCCAGGATTATATAAAACGTATTGAACTCGTGTACTACTGCTTTGAATATTTCGGTACTCATAAAAATTAGCGCATCAGCACGCGAAAATACAGGATGTTTCAAAATTAATAGCGGGGGTTTTAGCGCTTCGATCCTGTTTCTTAATTCGGGAAGGTCATCTGGTAATGGAGATACATACATGAACACCCAAATGTTCGTCAGATCCGGTGACCGCCCTGTCATTTGTCCCCTTGCGGCCAATTGAGCTGTGGGATACAGTGACGTTCAACCAGTCGCGTACTTCGTTATTCCAGTGAGTCGGCGCACCATCTTTCTGAAAAATGAAGTTCTGTGGTTCATCATCTTCCAACTGAAGGAAGATCCATATCTGTAGAGTATCAAGATAAGAAGTACTAGTTGCAGTTGCTTCACAATTAAAGAAAGGGCCATAAACTTTCCGCCGAGATATGGCGCAAAAAATTCAATTTAGGAAAGTCTCGTTGCACTTGTACATTACGTGATGATTTTCTAAGCCCCAGCTCCACACATCCGCTTGCCAACAGATGGCGGCGTAAACATTGGGTGCATATGCGCACTGGTGCCAACAAACAAAACTGTCTGAGTTGCTCTTTTGATTGATGTGTCATTTAAGGCGGTGAGTTTGGTGTAATAAATATTGTAGGGCGTTCAAACCCCGCTATTCGTTTTGAAACACCAGTATATTATTCGGGTCACAATCTAGATAAGTCGGATTCAAACGTTGTCTAGAGGACTATTCTAGCTGTCAACTGCTCTAATCAGTAGATTTCTAAGATTTTCCCGATCAATTCCAGTCAAATGACAGTTGAATGCCGAAACAGAACCTTAACAAACAGGCTACAGAACACTTTGCGTTCGAGCAGGAGGGGGGGAGGCCGTCGACTATCGCCCATAGGGTAGACCGCGTACGCGAAAGTAACTTGAGCTCTAAGCGCCATTTCGTGCTCTGCCCGTTCGCCCTGATTTCGTGCTCAGGTCTTTGAGATGGTTGGCTAGAATCGTGGAGGTCGACGCCTCTAAACGCCCCGCTTCTCTCCGCTGGCAACCAATTTTATGTCTTTCCTCTGCTTTATCATTATGATGCATGAGTATTATCGTGGAGTTAACCGTGAGATCTGCATTAAACGCGCGTATCAAATACGAGGCAATACAGCAGGTCTAACTAACCGTGAGAATGATTTGTCGTGGTTAGTAGTCAGACCGACATATCTACGCCATTTATACTTAAACTTATCTCATAATTTGTCATTCTATTACCAAATAAACCCAGCATTGATTTGCAAATTCAAACTTTTTCTGTTAGTATGTCTACATTTATACTCTCACCTTCAATCACTGATACGTTGTTGGTTGTTTTTTGTTTGTTTTTTGGTATTGAAAAGACAATTTAAACAATATTATATGAGCAGTCATTAAAACCATTAAAATTCTTGACATAAGTTACTTGAAATTATAAAATAAAGGTTATGATATTTCTCTAGTGATAAATTGCAGACATTTTGCAAACTTTTGCTACTAGATACTCTATTTAATACACCAGTTCACATACTTTCCATTGTGTAGAAATATTGCAGTTTCCCTCATTTAGTGAAGGTTCTGCAATATGAATTTCCAATACAAAAATTATGTAAATATAAATTAAGTTACTACGTTACTTGTGGTACTTATTAATGGTTATGGTTCAATCAATGTTTCAATTACAAGTAAGTAATTACATGGATTTGGTATAAGTCACATAGTACTGTGAATTTTTCAGTTTTGTCCAGATGTACCTTCCACATTTCACTGAAGTATTTATTTAAATATTAAAGTATTTAGTTAAATAAGCCACTGAAAATCATCAGTTTTCTGTAGTTAAAGCTTTCCAAAAATTATTTTACCACATAAATCCGAGGCATTTCACTTTCAATTGCAAAATTCCCCAAATAATTGTTCTTGCATATTAACATAGAATGATGAGAACATACGAAATTTGGTCTAAATTTTAAAATTTTATTTTTTCAAGCCCGGAGTGTATGTACATTCTATACATACATTGCAATCGCACCTACTTATAAAGACGGCTTTGTATTTTGATTTTCTTAAATTATTGCTTGTATGTTACCAACTGTAAGAGAACAATTACTAAGGATTTTCTTAGCTCTTTACTAATTAAACACACATTTTCATTTTGATTTAGGCAATTGGTGGCGGTAGTTAAGATAGTCATCTCGAATTTCCTGCCCATGGGGCGCGCCGCGGTTGGGTGGGCTAGGGTGCAGAGTGGTGATAGCGGGCGTGCTGTGTGCTTTGTTGCAGTAACCAAAGGCCAGCACCCCCACACTCGGCGCGGGGGCGCTGGGGGCGCGGGCGGCCGCGCGAGCAGCGACCCTGCCGGCGGATTCCTGCCCCGGATCGACCTGGGGTCAGCAGGGCCCGGCCGCTCGCTGCGCTACGTCGACCCCGCGCGCCCCGTCACCCTGGAGCTCAGCCACGGCAGGGACAAGCAAGTGCGTCCATTTACCAATACATTTGTCTTCATTTATTTAATCGTTTAATCGTTCAAACGTTCAATCGTTTAATCATTCAATCGTTTAATCGTTCAATCGTTCAATCGTTCAATCGTTAGATCGTTTTATCGTTCCATCGTTTGATCGTTCAATCGTTTGATCGTTTAATCGTTCAATCGTTCCATTGTTTAATCGTTCAATCGTTTAACCATTTAATCGTTTAACCGTTTAATCGTCTAAACGTTTAATCGTCTAACCGTTTAATCGTCTAAACGTTTAATCGTTTAACGGTTTAATCGTTTAACCGTTTGACCGTTTAATCGTTTAACCGTTAAACGTTTAACCGTTTAACCGTTTAATCGTTTAACCGTTTAATCGTTTAACAGTTTAATCGTTTAATCGTGTAATCGTTTAATCGTTTAATCATTTAATCGTTTAACCGTTTAATCGTTTAACAGTTTAATCGTTTAACCGTTTAACCGTTTAACCGTTTAATCGTTTAATCGTTTCATCGCTTAATCGTTTAATCGTTTAATCATTTAATAATGTAACACCACGCTTGTTTTTACGTTTGTTCTGGCGTTCTTACGTTTTGGATGTTAACTGGTTATACATTTAAAAATGTAAACCACCTTTCTTGAAATATTTTCCGTTTTACTAAATTCTTTATAATATAATCCTCAAAATACGTGTAGAGAGAGAATGCAACATATCTGTATTTTGAACAGGTGGATGATTATTTTCTTCGTATGTTCACTTACAATCCTAAAAGTTCATAATATTTTGACAGAAATCACTCAACTGAATGTCTGATTTCAGTTTCTGTTACACTTTCTTTAGCCTCATAGATTACGAACCATAAGACAGAGGCGGATCCAGAGATTAATCATTTGGATATAACGCAGTCATTATCTATTAATTGTAAATTGAGTAAAATTACCAAACTTTGTGACTTGGGGAGCGTATGGTTGCCATGGCCTCTCATCTGCATACCCAATGACACGAGGCAGCTCAATCTCCCTTTCGTCGTCATTAGATTTGTTTGAATTAGTGTTGTCACTCGCCTCAGATCCCAAAATATGAAACACAAAATATAGTTATGAAATTTGAATCGGAATGTCGAAACGTTCTTTACAAAACTGGCCCGGATATAAAAACTTTTGTAATTTAAACCCGAAGTCCTGATACAACTTCGAATTTAATTCGAAAATAAGTCTAGCATAAACTATTCAAAACAAGTGTGGAAATTATTTTCTATGATTTTTTTGTCTGTGCGCAGGTGATATCCTTACCCACCGACAAACTCGACCGCAACAAGCGCTACTATGTGACCTTCACCATTAAGGGAGGGGGAGGCAGTGCTGGAACCGGTCGCAAAGACCCCCTCAAGAAAGACTCGGGGAAAGGCGACGCAGACGAAGACCAACCAGCTCCTCAAAAAGGACTTCGTCACCACCACGCGGAGAGCCTGTAATGCAACGCTCGTAACGTCGATACTCTGAACGATATTGCCGGACTTCATCGCATGTTGAGTAATGATGTCTACGAATCTCATCGTTGAATCCCAAACTCCCTTTAGTGGTGTGATATTTCGTTGAAACGTACTGGTGTCCCTCACCACTAATCGAGTTCGATGTAATCGAATACTGCTTGAAGCATTTCTGTTTTTACTCCGTCCATTCAAGTGCCGCGAACAGAAAAAACTGGTGATATTCAAGAAATATATGGTGTTTTTATTAAATGAATTACATTTTTTAAAGTGAATTACTATTTCAGATTTTATAGAAGTATCTTCCCGTATCTCCTTCACTTACATATTTCTATGGCTAAGTGAATCCTTGAGATATGCTTCAGAGAAACTACAACAAATGTCTGTAATCAACCAAGTCTTCGCAAACATGCACTGCATTTAACAGTTGTACAACAAAACAGTATGACTGCTGGGCATACAAGTGCCCCTTTTGAGGGGAGATCAGAAACTAAGTTTACAAAGTCGATATTAATGGAGTTTTATCTGTTTTAGAGACATGTATAGTGGGCGATAATTCTAATACGTGCGGTCAGCAACTGTGCAGAGTTTCAGCCACCTGCCACGTACAGGGCTAGTTGTAGGGTAACACAAATGACGTCGCGTTTAGAAAAATGGTCTCGCTAAGAAAACTGCTTCATTATTCGTTTTCTGAGGGCGAAACACGTAGCCCCAACTGAAATTCATCCGCAGTTGAAAGAGGTGTACGGAGAGTCAGCATCCTTAATGACAGCGCATGACGTCACGTAGCTCAGAAGTCTACCACGCTGTTGAAGCCGTTTCGCTTGGACACCATCGACCTCCCTTCCTCTAGCTCGCTACTCGCTCTAAGCGCCCTTCACATTATTCCTCACTTGAAAGAGTTCCTAGGGGGCCAAAGATTTACTTTTGACGAGAAGGTAAAATACGTGGAAAAACACACAAGAGTATGATTTTTACCAGCAGGGAACATGTAAACATCCCACGAAACCAGTGTATCGACAGATATGGAGACCATATCGAAAAATAACCTAATATATGTGCAATAAATTTGCTGTATTGGATGTATGTAATAAAACATGTACATGTTTAACTGCAGGCTTTGTAACCTTAGTTTCTGATCATTCCTTATATAACAATATCCTTCGCCTATAATAAAATTATGCTTCAACGGAAAGGGTACAAGCTGTGCAGGGGTGGATTGACGGCCTTGTAATAATGAATGTAAACTTAAATGGCGGCTCAGATGATCCAACCTGTGCGAAGGCTTCAAGTAATTAAGGATACGAGGGAAGAGTATTAGGACGATAGTCATATTTGTGATTCTGAAACAGCTGATTTGGCTGCTGAACGTATACAAACAAGATAGCTTGACAACATGATGATAGCTACCCGACATCGAGTTGTCATCGATTATTTAGATATAATTTTCAATAGTATATCACTGTGTTGCAATATTCTTTCTAAAGCCAAAAGCGATGAAATACTAAGTACCTCTCTTTTCTTTCTGGTCCATCGTTGTTAGTAGGTAGCGATTTGTCAAAAATCAGGTTGTAAAACGATAGGAGTGTCAGTAAACTCCATCCATATTTCTACCATCTGTGAATTTTAAATTAGCTGGTCAGTCTCGTGATCACTCTGAACGATTATGATTTGATGGTATTGGAATGAGAAATAATTATGTGAGTCGCCATTGCCAACAATTTTGTCGACTCATACAATTATTTCATTGTAAATGCCAACGAAAACTCACTACAATTCCAATATAGAAACGAGACACTGAAAATAAATGCAATTCAATTCTCAATTTAGTTAGGGTTGGATCGTCAGTCGTTTTCCATTGCTGCCTGGTATTGTCTTATCTGTATATGGCCGCATATCCATATATCTAGATTCGAGCATTAATACATTTGGCCGCCCCTGAATTTACGTGCAATCCATGAGAACCGTCGGGACCAAGGACGTGGATTCCAACCATAGGGGAGAATCCTGCGTACCTTAAGTGCCACTTCCTCGGTGCGGGGCAGGACTTTACACCCATGCCAAGACCGAGGGAGGTAGCAAGCTCTTCAGAACCAAACGGATGCATAGAACTATGTATGTTTCAATGTTAAATATACAAATTTCTTCAGATATAATGCGCCTTATTTTCACCCCTGCCAATCAATAGCCGCATACCAATGGTGAGAGTCAACGACGGTCTCCATCGTAGATTTTTACTGTATCTTTGTTTCAGTATGAAATTATTGTTTCATGGTTTAGGGCTTTATATTTTTGTTAATAAATTCTAAGTGATAATTTCTTCTTTCGGCAATCATCAGATGTTTACAAAACACTTTGATACCGTCGGAAAATATCGGTGTTCTCTTACATCCAGGTCTGACCATAAACACGTTGTACCCTTACTTTAATATAAGTGTAGAGAACAGAAACACATTCGGAACAACAGTGTGAATGTTAAACTTCTTCATCAGAAAAAAAGATCTGTGTCCTACATAAAGGACCGATACTGCAGAAACTCGTAGAGCGCTTGTCTAAAAATACATATGATCTTACAACACCTCAGATGTGGATTTTTAAACTATATCTTGCAAAAAATGTATGTAATATATTTCAAAATACATCCGGCCACGGGCGTCTTTGGCGAGGGGAACACCCGAATATTTTCATGTACATCCAGTATTTAGATTCAATTTTTATTACTTACTGATTCAGTATAACATATCACAGTGTGACTAGTCAATTAGTGTATTGCGATCGCGGAAAATTGTGCTCGGCCGACGAGCTCTGGCTTGCCGGAAACGATGCGCTGAACTCCCCTGAGAACGCTGCGTTTCGAGGTCTCGCCCTAAAATAGGCATGCTTTCCAGTCTTGTTGAATGGTCGGTTTGCGGTGGCTCGCTCGAAGTTTACTCTCAAATAGAAAGTGTGTGTGTGACACATATGTAAAATGTGTCACGCCGTTATGTGCATCATACTCTGGAGCCTTTCTCCAAATGTTGGCAAATAAAGAGCGCAATTACGGTCATTTTCAACAGACCTCCGCAACCGCCCACCCTGCTTCAGTTTCCTTAAGAGTTGACGTCCCATTTATGGGGACAATTATCACACGTTGTGGTCTGCACTCTCCCCTGATCTCGCTTTGTGCGATTTATTTCATTGGGTATTCCTGAATGATCGCATTTACGCGACTAATCCCCTCGTGGAGGAAAAATCAAGGCATAATATAGAGAAACAGATATCTGCAATACCACAGGGCATCCTTTACCGAGTGACCAAGAATTTATTTATGTCAAGAATGTATCAAAGTGGTGGTGAGCAGTTCCAGCTACTATGACGTGAGTACAATTTCAACACTCTGGTAGCGAAAAGCTCCCTCCCATTTCGGCGATTCTACCGACCGCTCTCTCTCTCCCCTCTCTCTCTCCCTTTCCCCCGTCTCTCGCCTCTCTCTCGCTCGATCCTCTGCATTTCGTCTGTGTATGTTTGAATGTTAATCTTCTTGTTCCTCTATTTGGTCACCATGTTTTTGTCGGCAATTAAGTCTTTTGCTTCGTGTCATTTGTTCTTCGCTGGTTACTTTTACACCCTAAATTACGTGTTTTTAGTAGAACAATTGGAGTTGTTTTTTTCGATACAGCGGCGTGTCGATGTTTAACAATTGTTGTTCTATCTGAACTCTTACTGTGCTCGGGACGACTCACCCCAGTTTCAAAGTTAAATATGATGTACCATTCATGAACCTTTTAATTTAATTCTCCTGATTTAGAAATCACTATTATAAACTTCAGTCTATGTTAGCACCGTATACTATCTCAAGTAAGCTTCCAGATAACAATAAGCTCTTACACACGATACAAGAATTTTGTAGCACATTTGAAAATCAGCCTACATAAACCAATTTATGCTTACATCTGCCACGCTGTGCTACAGAATGCTTCCACACACACTGCTCCATTTTACCTGAATTTCCTCTATGACACATAATATATTCTCGCCTGTTCTCAATCAATCTGCTCAGTTCAAAGGTCACCTACTTCGTCTCTCCCCTCTGCTCTCCATCTCCTTCCTTTCATATCGCATACTTCTCTATAGATTCCTAGCCCACATCATGCTCTCTGTCTCTGCTATATGCATATTCACTCAATTCTCTGCTTCGTGCCTTCTGCTCTCGCATCCTACCCTGCTTCTTTTCACATCTTCGTTGATGGCCTCTTGCCCTCCTCCTAACTGTACATTCTCCTCTTTCTATCCACTCTCAATCTGTACTCTTATACCGCGCCGATTCTTCTTCTCCAATGATTTCTCCCTGCTCTCTCGTCCCCCTAGCTCTCTCCCCCCTCTTCATCTACTATTCTCAACCACATACACTCTATTCCCACTCCTTTGACTCTACCTCCATTTCAGACGACTCACAATATCATACTCTTAAACCCTCTCATCTCATCTTTGTTCAACCCTCTCTCTCCCCCTCTGCCTCTCTCCCCTCTCTCCATCCCGCCTCTCTCTCTTCTCCCCTCTATCTCTACTAGTATCCATACTCTCTCCTCTCTCTCTCCCTCTCCTCCATATCTCGTCCAATGCTCTCTCTCCTTACCCTCTCTCTCTCCCCTCTACTCTCCCCATCCCCTCTCTCTCACCTCTCTCTTTCTCTCGCACTGCCCTCTCTCTCTCCCCTCTCTATCTCGCCCTCTTCTCTCCCTCTCTCCTCCCGCTCTCTCTCTCGATCCGCTCTCTCTCCCCTCTCTCCTCGCCCCTTCTCTCCCCTCTCTCTCTCTCCCTCCCTGCTCTCGCTCTCTCTCATCACTCCCCTCATCTCTCTCCCCTCTCTCAATCATCCATCCTCTCTCTCTCCCGCTCTCTCTCCCCTCTCTCTCTCCCTCTCTGCTCTCCGCTCTCCTTCTTCCCCTTCTTCCTG